CTAACGATAATGTTAAAATGAATGAAATCAGAAGATAACCCCGCTCACTCCCCATATAACGGTACAATTCACAACTAAATAACCAAATCATTCCATAATTGATTACGCCAGAGACATTAAATTTTACCTCCGATACGGTATGAGAGGCTTTATGAGAGCCGGCGTGAAARTTGGACAATGAGCGTCGCACTGCCCATTTTTTGGGAAACCCCTCCGGAATCGATCAATCGATTTCGACTTAGTCGTATAATTTTTCTAGAATTCTTATGTTACAGTGTGAAAATATGCAAAATATGCATTTCCCATATAACATAATTTAAAATTTCATTTGATTCTTTCACTTGCCAGTACACAAATCAATAATTAATTAATATAACGGAATAAAATTTTGCAGTTATAATTTACTTAAAATGTGACACCTTTTGACTAAAAATTGTCCAAATTCAAATAAAACTGTYCAAGGCCCTAGGTACCGAATTTGACCAAACTTCCCTGAAATGAAATATAAAATTTTTCGAAGTTCTAGGWGCTTTTATGCTGGATTTTTGGGTTATCTCAATGAAATTGGGAGAACATGTTTTAATCATGACAGATATCCTTCTGCCTAAAATGGATAAATTTAAGCGAAAGCTTGACCTAGCCCTCTTATATCTATTACCAATATTTTCGAACATCCGGCCGACTTTGCCCCATGTTATTTTATGTGAGGTACCTTGATGCTAATAGTTAATAGATAATATTGAATCCTACAATTGCGTGGAGGCATGTTTTCGAGTATACCTAAGTCATACCGAAAGTTAATGCAATCAGTCTAAAGTTCCTCAAATCACAATATACCATATAGTGAATTTTGATTTTCTGCGTGACTACAAACCGGGTTATGCAGGCAAATATTATATACATGTATATATTATATATTTGAAATAAAGTGAGCAAGCTTGCTAAAAATAATGAACTTCTGCGCTGAATATGATCGTAGATCAAACCTAATTCCTCTAATTTAAATATTTTCAAACAGAGTTTATGGCCTGTAGTAAACAGGGTTTACTACGATGTTTGTTACACACAAAAGAAAACATTGCCGGTTGTTAGATATGAGAGATAGTTCCTAAGTTTTTGAGATAACGATCTGCACCAAAAAGCTGCTAATTTGTCGGAATGGCCGATACAGGACTGTTATGTCATATACATATGTAGCTGTCATACAAACTGAACAATCGGAATAAAGTGCTTGTCTTCGCCAAAATTTAACATGAGTTATTATTTAAGACATCGGTGCAATCTCTGAAGAAATTTTTCAGTTCGAGTCCCTATAGCATATAAATAGTACTTACATTCCGCCTTTCTGATAACTCGTTTGTATTTGTGAAGAATATTATTGCTTCTTTCTTGTATAAATAAAGTTTTTCAACACCTATGTATAGTTATTGCATCGCTTTAGATCTATGCAACTTGCAGTTATACCCCAACTTATGCCTTACGTATTTGTTTTATTCTTATTTTTAATATTTTACTTAACTAATTTTCCTTTTTGTGAATTTTTCTGTATGGAAATAAATTTTGTAAAAAAAAAATAATTAAATTAACAATGAAAGTATTTATCAACGTTCTGAAGCCATTATGAATGGGGTSGTACTCATGATGATCAGTACCTTTTAAATACATATGTATATATGTATGTACGTATGCCTAAGAAGAAAATGTAAAAAATTGCAGGCGGATTGGTTTAGCTGTCTCTGAAAATTTCGCTCGCCGACTCTGAAAACATTATTTTGATGCAACCGCATTTAACGGTTTCGAAGCCGATTACGTTAGTTACTTTTTCCAGATCAACTATCAGGAAGTATTCTGAATATATGTACATATATACATTAGCTATACATACCATGTACAACTAAAATACCTCTTTTTACTGTGATTACCGAAGCCAGCTTTACAAATAAGGAAGTTTCCATACAATAACATAATTTTTTTTGTTCTGTTTGTATGGCGCCTATCCATCGCTGGTTCCCACAAATGTACAGCTGCTTSAATAGAAATGATGTGCTCTAAATCTAACGGACTATATATACGAACTATATACAGACGGCTATGGCTACTATACATCAACTCAACTCGTCATGATGACTATTTATATAACATATAGAGTGGTGGTCAAAACATTTGCAAACAAAATCAAATATTTGTTTCTAGTATTTTTTTGTTGCTAAAGTCATTGTTGTGTTCTTTGATTTTCCGAGCTTTAGTTATTGTATTTGTCACATACATATCGACTGTTAATATAGTTATTTTAACCTATAACAAAAGCAAAATAATATTCCAGTGGAGAACAAGAAAAGCAAGCTTTCACAACGTTTGCAACCGATATTTGTTTTTATTTTTTATTTTGCTAGTTAACAAAAGGCAAGATATAACGGTAATCACATTCCACATGATTAATGAAACTTCATGCGTTTTTATTTTCCGAAGAGTTTGCATTTAGTTTTTCGCGTTTCTAGAGTTAACATATTTTTCCGTTTCTTGTGACCTTTGTAATATTTTCGGTTGAAAATGAGAGGCAATAAATACAGTTCGGACTTAAAGAAAAAATAAAGGATCATTTCAGAAATGGACTTTCGCAAAAGAAAATATCCTTAAAATATTCCATAGATAAATCAACGATTTGCCGTATTATTCGGACTAACAATATCCAKAGAAGACTGGCAAATAAAAACGTTCTTTAAGAAATACCTCAAAMCAGTTCCAAGAGAAGCTAAAACCGAAATTCAAAGTAGACAAACAAGACTGGCCTTGGAGTTTGTTCTGAGTAGTTACCGATATCCGAAAAAACTATTGGTGTCGGCAAAAAATAGAAAAGCGAGGTTGAAATTTGCACGGTCACACTTACTTTGGACTAAGCAGAATTRGAACTCCATTTTATGGTCAGATGAATCGGAATTCAACCTCAGATAGCGAACGCCGAACATAAGCTATTTTATGTTCGGCGTTCGCGAGGTGAATTTTATAACCCAAGGTACACCAGTACCTTGTATAGTATAAAACAGAGGGGTAATTTTTTGGTATGCYGGTGCCACTTGTTCAGACTTCAGAATATTAAACGCAGAATAGGCAGTGAAATATTCCGGAATGGTGATGAACTTTTCGTCAGATTTGAAACGGCATGGAAAGCGATCCCTTACAGTTACATTGAAAGTCTAGTAGCTTCAGTGCCTAGAAAATGTGCTTAAGTTTTCAGTKCAAGCATTTAATCAATATCATGATCGTATCAGTCAAAGCAATGTACTTAGGAAATTATCATTGTATGATATGACAGTTACAATAACAAAGAACAGCTGAAAACAAAATCGACRTCATTGTATGCGAACAAAATTAGAGCCGTTAATGGGCGACAAAAAAGCTTTCGACTGAACACAGTCTAATTTGAAATATGTTGAAATTAGAATTTTATTGTTTATTTTGTATGTAAAGAACAAAGATAAAAATTAGCTTAAGGCGAATAACACAAAAACAGCTGATTTTTCTTTATGTATTGGGATCCCTCCCTATAAGCCCCCCTAACAGAACAACCAGACATKTTTGTTAAAGTTTCTATGAGTTTCTTTGGGTCCTTATACGTTTATACAATTTAACAATGGAATATATCATTTTTCCTTATTTTTAGACATCACATTTTCATTTATTTCATTTTATAACCTTATGCTTCCTTAATAAACTTGATTGAATGTAGGCTATGAGAAGTTGCGCCGTCGCAATGGCTATCGGCATAGACCTCTATTATATAGCAATGTAAGTATGTACAGATTATGTACATATTTATGTACATATGTAACCTAAGCATTCACGCGTGTGACGTTGCAAAACTGTACACACACTCTCGTATTCTTACATCTTTAGCAACCGACTCAAAAACTCAAGTAAATAAAATATTGAAACGCTTGAGGAGTGATGTGGAAACATTTCCATCACAAAATTACATACGAAAGCCTAAAAGCAACAACGAATGCAGCTGAAAGGAAAAAATTTCTCGCTTAGAGAGATTTTGGTCGGCCAAGTTGATTGCATTAAGCATAGCTCACATCAACCCTGTAGGAAAATTTTCCTATCAGAACACAATTATACGTTTCAAGTAATTTTCACACTAAAAACAAACAAATTATTATTAAGTTTATCGTTTTAGTTCGGTGTACTATTCATTTTCGCAATGAACATTACATTATATGCATGTACATAGTATATCTCATGGTAAATTTAAATAATTTGTGTGTTAATAAGGTTGCATGCCAAACATTTTGTCTGTGATGAGTTGGGGGGGAAAAATTTTGCTATGGTGTAAATAAATTTTACATTTTGCTGTGCCAAATGGAAATTAAAATTTGATAGTTGAAGTTCAAATAAACGCAATTGGGTCGTTTGAATGCTTGCTTTGTCAATAAAATTATTAAATACATATATTTTTAAAGTCAATTAAATGAAAAAATGTATTATATTGAAGATTTTTTGTTAATTAAGCCTTTTAGGCATCGTGCTAGGCTGCTACGACTCTACTCGCATTCGGTACCCATATGGACAAACATAATTATATATTCAATAACACAGTGCATAAATACATTTACTGTAAGACATTTTAATTAACTACAAACACATATTTTTATTTTATTTAGAGTATCATTTCTGTATTGAACGAAACAAATAACAACATAAAAAATAATAATTACAAATGAATAACATATTTTATAACATAAATGTATTCATATTTATGAGTTGAACTGTGCAAAATTCTGACAATCGAACTCATCGCGAAAATCTTAAAATATCAATTTTATCTATAAGATTTTCATTTTCCTACCGTTTAGCACACAGCTTAAGTTGGTAAAAATTTCAACTAGTTGTATACACATGTGAGTGTATGTGCACATACTTAAGCCGCGCATTCTCTACTGGTAAACAAACTGCCGCATTGAGCCGTAACCGTCAAGTTTTGAAGCAGGAGGGTATTTCTTGTTTAGTTACAATACTAATATTTAGTCTAAGTATTCCGAGCAACGGTGCCGCAACGGTTTAAAAAGTGTGCTGAGAAATCGAACTATTTTCTCGAATATTGTTTATTTAATTTTTAAAACAAACCATCATTTTCCGATTAATTTTATTTGTGCGCTTTTTTTTTAACATATTAATATAAAAAATGAGTTGAGAACAAAGTTCGCAGAACGCCTTCACCATATTTGCCGAAATAAGAGTGGGCAGTATGAGGGTGCACTTTTTGTGACACGTAATTCGAAATTACAAATATACAATAACTTAGAGCCACTTTTGCTTGCCGCTCGGTCAGTGTTTTCACGACTGTACTAAAAGTTGAAAGTGTTCCAGGTGAATGACTCTTTTGAATGCTATCGGCTTCCGGTCAAGCCACCCTTTGACTTTCGTCACGACAACATTGTAATGTGTACGTGAAAGCAAACATTCTTTTGTACATATGACTGCTTACAAACATAGTTATCGCAAATGAAAGAACCCTGAACTACGGTGGTGTTTCGTATGTTTCTGACCATTCAAGTGAAACAAATTATTTGTATTTCTGATGAATTATGGTACATAACGCCTAATATTGAGGTACAAGTTAGAAGATTTAACAAATCTTAAATTTTAAATGTGTACTTATGTATGTGTGATTGTATTAAAAGTAATTATGTTCCTCAAATCTCCTTTTTTTTTAGCTGCAATTGCTCATTGTAACTGCCCATAGTTAGTGTTGTTTCAAATTTGTTAGTGTCCATATAAATTATGTGTAAAAAACTCAAAAAATTAAGAAAGTTCACAATCATATATTGGGCAGTGAAGTTACAGTCTTCCTTATTGAGAAGCAAAAATTGTATTATATGATGTGTAAAGGTAAATACCACAAAAACGAGTCATAGTTTTTTGCTCGCAACGAAATTATTATCAGAAACAAATATGCTTCACCAAAAGGACTGCTTTGCTAATGCACAATACAATTTCACCGCCATTAAAATCACTAGTTTTAATCGACATAATAAAAAGCAACGACAGCCTAAACAGTTTCTCATACTATCAAGGAATCCGTGACTGTAATCACTCCGAACAACAATATTGAATATACTTTGAATTGAAAATGAGGATTACTTATCAACGCACAATTCTCTTATACGGCGCAATTTTAATGTTTCTCAAATTAAATGGTGAGTTGTTTAGTATTCACACTTAAGTTTGTATTATCACTAAATAGTTCAATTCGACAAACTCTCAAAAAACAAAATATGAACATGAAGTTAAATTTAATTAATTATTTTTTCGACCTTATTTTTAGCTTTTATTTTACTTATATTTTAATTTTAGCATAAAAAATCACTCACACCATAATGCATTCACTTGCAAGTAAACTTTAGTGTAAGTAGCCAGACTTTTATACTCTTCCTACAGAGTATTATAGTTTTGTTCACCTAACTTTTGTACGTATCACCTAAAACGAATCGAGATATGTAGATATAGTTTTGTATATTTCCTCCATTTATCATCATTATGACGAGAAAAGTTTAAATTTGCTATAAATCCATAACTAATTACGCCAGAGACATTAAATTTTACTTCCGAGATCCGAACTTTGCTCTTCCTTACTTGTTAGTTTTATGGATGGCGCTTTTATTCTTTTAATCCAACTACATATTAAATACATGAAAGATCTTAATTAATAATAGGGCCACACTCGCTTTTTACTATGCTGTCAATAACAATATTTATGGACAAATTGTGTTTGGGTACGATCGTTTTTGGGGTCTTCAATATAAAGAATATTATGCCTAAGATGAGGATAGCCACATTACAGGCCTTGTTGTCAGCTATCTTTTATGTCGTCAATGTATTATACATTTATGAAGCTCAGCTTTGCAGTCATCACAGACTCAGAATTGAAACTTGTAAAGGGTACTTAGAATGTCTTCCAATGCAAGAATCCTATCACAGCAATTTGCGACATTATTGTCTTCAGCAATTCTGCCATTGAGCTTGAAATATAATAAAATTTTTAAAAACTTTAGGATTTTTTTATAAAACACAAAAAATTAATTTCTATTAGTACATTCACGTATTATTATAGATAATTAAACAAGGATTGCACCGCGACCTAGGGTCTATTGCGCCCCACATATTATTATACTTGCATAGCAGCTATGCCCAACGTTAGCTTTATAATTTTACAAATTCATAGTACATACGTATATTGGATACTACTTTGAGGCTTCATAAGATTCTTATAGAAGTATTTAATATTTTTTGTGAGGGAAGAATTAGTTCATTTATATACAGTATGTATGAACAAGCTTCAAACGGGAAAATAAACAATTATATTAAACTTGTCACGAAGTTTGTAACATCCTGAAGTTTACGGTTCTGCGACATGAAGTCGGAAACTGTCGAGTACATGTTGCTAAACTATACATACAACATTCTGCAGACGCATGATAGAAATCACATCGCCATAACAGCACACAGCAGTACACTTTTATTTATCAGTGTTTTGAGTCATTCTGACAAGGGCAACACACTTTAGAGCTTAGGTTGCGAAGCAAACCTCAATTTATGTCTATTTATCTAACACCCAGAAGAGAAAGTCGGAGACCCTATAAAATATAGACATTTACCATATAAATGACGTTCGTGGCGCGTTGTGCCGATTTATCTTATCGATTTATCAGAAGCTTATTTGTCGGAACCGCCAATATAGAACCAATTAGCATGTAGCTGCCATATAAACTAGCCGAACAGCATCCACTACTGGTAAGTTTTGTGTTTGTGAACTGTGTTATAGTTTCGTTGCAGCCGACACAAAGATACACAATTATGACTAAAACACGCTCTCTCATTTTCATCGCGACATTAGGTATTTTAATACATTTTCAGGACTTTTACTACTTTGTCATTACGAACGGAATGACATCAAAGCTTTCTATCAGTACTCAGTTACACCTAATGATTTTATTCTTAATTTCTTGTTAAATAGTGTGGTATTTTCTGCAGTACATAACATACATACATAACTTTTAACGAGGTATTGCAGGTTTTAAAATACTTTTATTGGAACATTCTTATTTGCCATCGTATATTAATTTAAAAGCCAATGCCTCATAGATATGGTGCATAAGATAGGGAATTGCATATTCCTTCCTGTACAAAGTATATGATGTATGTATATAAGTACATATATATTTCAATTTGTTACTAAGCGTTTATGAATACTTGCCAGTATTTTATTTCCCTCAACTAAATGGTAAGAAGATCAGTGGTAATGAATTAATTCACAGCCATGCAAACCTAACTAGCAAATGTATACATTGACCCAGATGGAAAATTTGTATTACTTGGTAAGAAATGTAATTCATAAAATAGGAATGATACTCTATATAAGGAAAGTTCCTCACACAAAACACCTATATTAAAACAAGTAGGGAAGAACTAAGTTCGGGTGAAACCGATCATTTTATATAAATTGTACGAATAAAAGCCCGGGAAATATCTTAAGATACAAAACGTCAATTATAGATATGTGGTACATGGGAGATGAGGGTAGTATAGACCAGATTTTATTATTTAACCTGTCACATACAAAAAAAATGTTCCCTAGGCTTCATTAAGGTACCTCATATACAATCAAGAATTATTTGAAGTGAAGTCAGACGGATGTTCGAATATACTGAAATTAGTTATAAATTATTATTGCTAGGTCCGGTTCTCGCCCATATTACCGATATATCCAGCATAGTCACCGGGAAGCTCGAAGTATTGACCCGATTCAACTCATTTTTGATGCACAGAATTACTATTGTCAGAAAAGGATTCTCCAGTATTTATATTGTGTATCTCACACATTGACCGAAGTTTTCGATCAAAACCCACCTATAGATACAGGAGTCCACATTTTCAATACCTCGGGGTSATAAGGTGGCATACTTTAAAGGAATTATTAGTGTAAAATTGTATCCCGTTATAATAATTACTTTTTTGATTTGAGTACAAGAAGGTAAAAGAATCAAATGGAATTTAAAATTGTGAAAAGTAGACGTGGTTGTACTCCGAGATCGACCATTTTCACACTGTGACATAGAAATATGAGAGAAATGCTGCATACTAAATTTATTAAAAATCGGTCGGCCGGGTCTGGGAATTTGTGTTTATTCACTTTAGATATACAGAAACGACACAAAATATATATTTAAATGCTTTAAACTAATATTTAATATTTAGTTAGAAAACCTCTGTTATTTTCAGCAGCTTGTAGACGTTTGGGCAATTTCAGAGGGCCCATATTCAATAAAATTTGCTTTATGCTTTGGGTTGTTTTTAGCGTATAACTTAAATATACTTGTTACAGCTATTTTTTACCGCTCTTTTTGAGATTGTCTTTAAGCATATTTAGATACTTCCACTAATACATACAACCATCAACACTACATTTACTACTCACACCTAGGACAAACATATCATGACCGAACCCCAGCATGCATATCTGTACTATGTACTGTGTCTTTTCCACACAGAGGGTCACGTATACTTTCTATTCGATCCGTTCATTACAAAAAAAAAAATAATTACAATTGTCAAATTTTTTAATACTTGTATTCAAATATTGTAATTTAAATGTATACCATTACTACTTTTTGGTAACACTAAAATATGCTGGTGTTGAAAAAACAGATACTACCAAGCTGAATTGTACTATATGTATGTATATATGTACTGCAGAGTCTCATATATACACATTGTTTTTGATCGACGCACTGGTAACACCATAGATCTTCAAATCAAAATGCAACGCATTGCCAAGACATTTTCCAACTAGGTAACATACAACAAGTATGTACATATGTCAGATAAGTTGCGTATGTATGTATATATATACAACAATTCTAAGTTACAGGTACATTTAGTTAGAAAATATCTCGACACAAGTGTATTGGCATAAGAGTTTTGCGGTTACTTACATATGTATACATGCATGTAGGTTCTCTTTGGTACATAAATGTACATTTATTATTTAAATTGTCGTGAATACCTCTGTTTGCATTTATTCCATTTAGGTATGTTTTATCTGTTGGGAAAAACTACTTTCGTATAAATACTTCATACTTTATGTGCGTACATGCAAGTACATATGTAGACTCTTTCCTACCAAYACAGTAGCCACTGGATTATTGCAACTCATCAAATTCTGGACTGAGCACGACTCAAATTTTAACTATGAAAACAATTTATTTTTATGCTCTTCTAAAATGTTAACCAACTATAACTTTTTTGTTTATTTAACAATGCTTCTACGGTTACATAACGGTATTGTAAATTTAAAATACGAATAATGTTAATCAGTCTTTGCTTAATTAAGATACGTCTATATTTAAATAACTCGTTTCATTCTTTTAGATAATTTATATATAAATTTTACTTTATACTAGACTAACTTATGTACGTAAAAGGTGTTATTTAAAATCAGGGGAAGATTTTTCATGTATCTTGTAAAAACTCATCGTAGTTGCTTCTTGCTATCTTTTAATCATTGTAAATATACCGATTTAGGTACATGATTTCAATCTATAAACCACACTTGCAAAGATGTGTAGTAATTGCGTAGCTACTGTGTGTCATATATTCATATAAATACATAAAATATGTATAAATTATTTCTTATAAACATATGTACATTTATGCGCCTTAGACTCGTACTAAAATGCTGGTACAACAGTTAAAAAATGTATGTCGCCAGGAATAATAAGAAATCTGGGGCACTCTCCATGCAGTACATATGAACTCCACTTAGTTTCAACATTCATAAAACAGATTAGATTATGAACTATCAAAAATGTATGTAAAGCTTAATACAATTTTATAAAGAAAGTACGTTTATTCTTCAAATGGATTTTAAAAAAATATAACAAATTTTTATACTCTCGCATCAAAGTTGCTAAAGAGAGTATTATAGTTTTGTTCACATAACGGTTTGTTTGTAAGTCCTAAAAAAAAAAAGTTACATATAGGGTTATATATACCAAAGTGATCACGGTGACGAGTAGAGTTGAAATCCGGATGTCTGTCCGTCCGTCTGGCCGTCCGTCCGTGCAAGCTGTAACTTGAGTAAAAATTGAGATATCATGATGAAACTTGGCACACGTATTTCTAGGCTCCATAAGAAGGT